AAAACAACTGATGTCCACCATTGGGTCTTAAACACAGCTAAAAAGTCCTGCACCTAAAGGCGTGTGTCCGTGTTTCCTAATATTTCATCAAAATGTTTCTACCCAACATCCATTCTATCCAATAGCAAGGACCACATTTCTCATGAATTGAATTGAAAGAACATTTAGAATATTTCAATCCTAAACTATTTATCATATTTCATTTAAAATTAAAAACTTTACAAATATATCACACATTCTCTTTTTTTCTTTTAATACACAAGCTATAGCACAATGAGGTTCATTGGTCATAAATTGAAAATGAAGGACCAGTAAGTTGATGAAAGGCCAACCTAGAAACTTTTACAAACTATAAATTAAAACCTATTCTATTATATTAAGACAAACAAATAATAAAAAAGACAATTGTTTTTGACATAACATATTTATTTTGTATTTACAAAAGAACTATGCAAAATATACATATAAACACATTTCTTTCTATTTGAAAGTTGTTTTTTACACAGGTAAATTATCTCAGATATATATATTTTCATTAAATGTCAATACTTCAATGCAAAAAAGCATGACTAATAAAAGAAATACATGTAAGAAAAGTATGTTCTATTGTCTACAATGTTACATGCATACATTTCAATTGAAGATTTCCATTTCTCATCTTGTACAAAAGAGAAGGTTCAATAAGGCTCGGACTACTAAATCTTATTACAATTCTCATTGAATGACTAATTAATACAATGCATTCTAGTTAAACGATGAATCAATCAATAGGAAAATATGTATCAGTATTGATTTAAGCATAAGAAATAAGCATTACTTTTTCCCTACCAATTAAAACAGGCTAATTTCAATATGTTTTAATCAGCAACTTAAAAAGCTTTTAGCCAGAAAATTGACACTTACCCAATCTACTTTCAGAATACAAATAACTTTTCAAAATTTTAAAAATAAATAATACTAACATTGACTTAACTTGTCAAAACACTTACTGTAGCAATTGAAATATTATTTACAAATTAGTTTTTTATATTAACATTTGTACATTTGTGAACATTAAAGATATAGCACTGCTATACAAAAACACTTAGTTTTCAAAATAATCATGAATCAAAATTCCATACGACAATTGCAAACTACAGTACTGTACATTAATGTGAATGATATTTAGTTTCATACAGTCAACTGCTTAAACATGTTGTCACTTATCATGCTTATAAAATGCTGAACTGTCTTCACTAAAGGACAGCAGCTACAAGTTTCTACGAATTAATCTTTGAAACAAACATACAGAAGTCATTTTATTTATAGACACAAAATTTGGTGCTCATATGACATAAGAAGATTATCTATCAAATGTTCCTAGGAGGTAAATATATATACAAAATATACAAAATATACAAAATAGAATTAGTTTTGAGGACTTAAACCCGTGGTCGGTGTGTAACAATCCTAACTGCGGTGTTTCTCTCAAAAGTCTGGATATGGTTGTTGATCGCAGCCAACAAATTACCTTCCATAGCTGGTTGTTCATGTTGTGGTTTCTTGTAACGTCCCATATTTTGTGGCAAAGGAGTCTTTGGTGCAGGGCGTCTTGTTTTCTCGAGGGTAGATAGGTAGTTGATCCACCAAAGTTCATCTTCTCTGTTTAACTTTCCATTTTGAACCCATTTTGGAAGATCTCGTCTCATCAACTGTATGATACCACCAATCTTTTCCATGTTTGGTTCCACCTTCCTCGGCATGTCGAGATTCTGTAATATATTAGTCAGCTCCAATGTTTTGTATGGTGCTGACTCCAATGGCCATTCTTTCATTGCCAAGAAAACTTTGTCTCCATCCTTTGTCAATTTGAATACGTGCTGACTTTTGATTCCAGCTAGACTGGATGGATATGCCATCTGATCCCGGAAATCATACAGTGATTCTACATGCTTTGCAATAGGTTGCGGTGTGTAAGACCTTTTGATCAGATCCAAAAGGCTTGGGATGGTTGTTGTCTTTTCTTTTGAAGCTTTAACAGAAATCCTACTGAATAACTGATCAACATCCTCATGGGTGTGACCCACCATGAGGAATGTCAGCTTTATCTGTAAAAAAAAAAAGATATAGATTTGTAATAAGTTATTAAAGCTTCAATTCCAAATCTCACATTGTTCAACTAAAATTTCATAAGTGCCAATACTTTTTGGTGCACATTAATAATAATAAGAGTCAACATACTGAATGTATTGCCTGCTTTACTGACCATGGAATTTATTTTGATAGCCCTAAATATGAAGCATTATTACATGTATCATCATTAACAAGGCTCTGATGATGATAATGGAAGTATTAACGACCTTGACTTGCTATACAGCCCTCACACGGTCGGTAGGCTCTGTGTTGAAGACCGTACTTTGACCTATAATGGTTTACTTTTACTAATTGTGACTTGGATGGAGAGTTGTCTCATTGGCATTCATACCACATCTTCTTATATCTATATACATATAAACATCTTACAATCATTCCATAAACCAAATATTAGTATAAGTGACTTACTGCTTATAGTTTAAGAAAAACAGACCAAAACACAAAAACTTAGCATTGAGCAATGAACCATAAAAATGAGGTGGAGGTCAATAAAACTTGCTGGACAGGTATCTACACTGGAAATATTTCTATACACCTAATATAGTTGACCTATTGCATACAGTATTGGCAAAACAGACTATAACACACAAACTAAACTTTTAACTAGTGAACCATGAAAATGACGTCAAAGTCAGATGACACCTGGATATGTACACATAAAAATCATTCCATTCACCAAATATAGTAGTTCAACACAAAAAATAAACTGAACAACAAAAAGCAGAATATGGTTAATATTCATTATAGTCATGAAATAACTTCAATGACTGAAAATCGTAATTATTGGCATCTCTGAATTTTACTGACAATTTTTAAAATTGACTAGTTTCCCAAGGAAGTGCCACTTAGCTACGAATAGATGATAAATAAGTTGACTCTAGACAAAAATACACACATCATGAAGATACATATTATCAGTCCATACATAAAAAATTCTAGATTTTTTTACAATTTGGATATTCATTTTATTATGTTAGAAATCAAACATGAAAATTTGAGTCAAATCAGTGAAAATGAATTAGCTGGGTTTTACCCCTTTAAGTGATTGCCTTAAATGTATTTTTTGGAATCTGTGACTACAACATGCACTTTTGTTTTGTTTTATGAAACATTTTCTCTTTTCTTTTCATAAGTTAGTGATTTTTTGTTATTGTTGATGAAATGACAAGCACATACATGATATATACATGACATATATATCTGCTCTTTGGTAGGGTTGTTGTCTCTTTGACACATTCCCCATTTCCATTCTCAATTTTATGTTATAGCAAAAAAGTGTTTTAATTTGCAACAAACAAATATTGGAACTAAAAATGTATTGCATGCTGTTATGTCTGAATTTATGCCCTTGTGATTTGAAGTAAGGATAACAAAAATGCATGTATGCTAACAAATTCCAATAAAAGTTTCAAATACTAAATTTTATTACCATGGTAACTCCATCTATCAATAAATTAAATAAATGCAAAAAAATTAAATTACCTTTTTTACAATTTCCATTTTCACCAACATTGCTAGGAACATTATCACATATTTATTTTTGTTGTCTTTTGGGGAATTATCAGCTTGAATATATAGTGTAGGAGGTAAACCACCATTTTCCTAAAAAGAAAAAAAAGGGAATCAGCTTTACATATTATACATCATATCATCACAGTTAAAAGTTATCCAACCCTATTATACCAAACATAATATATTTTTCTAGCATATGAAGTATTTTAGTCATAAAAGTATTTAAGTCAAAGCTTATTTTTGAGAAAAGAAGTTTGTTCACCGATAAAACTGCATGAATAAATTGTTTCATTTTCATCTCTTATCATGAGAAGCGCAATTTGTTCCCAACTTTTATAAACTTCTCACATTTCTTTGAAAAATTACAGATTATTGCTTATATTTCCATTACATTTTTGGTAAAAAGCAAAATAAATAATGTTCATGCATTTATATATATATATATATTCCCTTGCTGGGATTTCGAACTCATGCTACTGAGATATCGTGGCACCAAATCACATTGTACTGTGAACGACACACTAGACCACTCGACCACCTAGGCTCTTTATTATATATATATATATATATATATATATATATATATATATATATTCAGAAATGGGAATGTGAAAATTAACCTCATTATCAAACGAGAATAACATAGCGGTCTAGTGCACATGTAAAAACAAAATAAGCCATGAAATATGTTTTTTTTTCTAAAAATCAGTTTTGAATTTGTTTTCCATTTTGTCAACACTTGGCGTTTTAGCTTAGTATAGGGTATGGGTTTTGCTCACTGTAGAAGGCCATACTTTGACCTGCAATAGTCTACAACATTGTCTCTATGCATAATTAGTTCATTGGCAACCATACCCATCGTTCTTACTTTTTTTATATGCAACCCTGTCCAATTATTATTTCTAATTGAATAGTAATGCTAGCTTAGATTAATCTGTAATTTTTCAGTGTCTGTGTCATGTGAAATCTTTGGAGATATGTCTAATTGGCAGTCATACCACATCTCTTAACTTTCATATCTTTGATGTTTAAAATTAATGGACTAAAAGTGGCTTCTATACACTTAGACTTTCTTGTTGTTGCATAAATTGTAAAATAAATGAAAATGTGTTACTGTGGATTAATTATTATTCGTTGGATACCAATTTTCGTGGCTTTCGTTGATACTGGTAAACCACGAATTCAAATGGTCAATGAATTACAAATTTTCTTTAGGCTTTGTATCCAAGGTATGGCAAAACCACGAAATCAAATATCCAGGAAAATGCAAGTTTTCCTCAATCCACGAAAATTGATACCCACGAAAATAAATGAATCCACAGTATTCTCTTGCATGAGAACTTTAGTTAATTGTTTCACTTTAAACTTGATAATAGATACTTACTGTTGCTACATCGCCCAGACATCAAACAATTCAATGTGATATTACAATCAGAGGAAAACTGATCTGTCCATGTAAATGTGTATGCCTTATTTAATCCATGACATAAAACACCTGTAACATGGTGGTGCATTTTTTCAAGTGTTGTTTCATTCTGAAAAAAAAAAAGTTTAAAAACATGTGCTCATAACTTAAACAAGAATGCAATCATAATTCAAAATATTGGCTAACAGGAAGTAGTTATATGACTTATCTGAAGGTGCACTCTTAACATGCTTAACTCATCTATGTTGAGCAGCTGACCAAATAAAGTCATTGATTTCAGTAGTTTCTGAGAAAAATATGACTAGTTGAATTCCTTCCAATATTGAAAAATTCAAAGTAATTGCAAACAAGAGTTAGGTATCTGACAAATCTCCAGATTCTTTTTTATATCACATGTCATCACTGTCAAGCTGTTGACCAAATAGCAAATATGAGGTCATTTTATTTTAATAGTAGTTTCTTGAAAAGTTGGACGAAAGTGTTGTACCAACAGATAGACTAGGTGCTACCAATAAAGCCCCCTTCTTATCTAGAATGGTAAAATATTTGTCTCATATAAAATGCTCAAAGAAAATAAATACTGCAAGAAGTCATTTTCACTACACATCCTGTTAGTTCATATGATTGCTGCTTTGCGTTAAGTTAATCAATCATTTAATTACAATGTAAATATAGTGCAAGATACAATTCAATACAGAGAAAGGTTAGGAGTTTGACCAGACCAAATTCTATTAATTGCAGATGCTAACACCACTTAGATCTTCACGATTATGTGTCATTTCCTAGACATTCATAGCAAAATAGAACATTCAAATGATATACCAAACAAGAATGTGTCCATAGTACACAGATTCCCATATCGCACTATCATTTTCTATGTTCAGTGGACCGTGAAATTGGGGTCAAAACTCTAATTTAAAAATTAGAAAGATCATATCATAAGGAACATGTGTACTAAGTTTCAAGTTGATTGGACTTCAACTTCATCAAAAACTAACTTGACGAAAAACTTTAACCTGTAGCGGGACAGACGGACGGACAAAAAAACAGACGCACAGACCAGAAAACATAATGCCCATAAATGGGGCATAAAAATGGACCTTTTTTGTTGTTTTCATTTTATAATTTTACAAATAAGATGAATCTAACACTGCGAGCCTGCTTTCAACATTGAAATTGATTACTGCATTGAAATATCATGTTCTAAATATAACCCTTATAATAAAAATATGCCCTTCCAAAACAAACTCACCTTAAAATGTAATGGAAACCTTGGTAGATTGGTTTTGGACTGATCCATATTGTCAATGATAACAGAAGTGTACATGCTTGGATGTTCTTTGGATTTCTTTATGTGTTTATAATATTTTTCCCTGCAGATTCTGAAAAAAAAATCAAAAATATATACATTACACTCACTAATGATTAATAGTTGTGGTAATTCCATGACCATGACTTCCCTACAACCAACACATTTTCTAGAAGTGGTGAGTAATCATAAATGGTTTCATTGCCCAACATCATGGTGTAGTGATGTTAGGAAGAATAAACTTTCTTTGTACTTGTGCACAGTAGTGACTTAACTAACTAAAGAGCCTGTGTCGCTCACCAAGGTCTATTTGCATCTTCAATTATGGTCACTCACAAACATTGGAGACCAGAATAGAATTTATGACAATTATCTTATTTTTGCTGATATTGTATCATTGATAATGTTTTCTGTTTATAGTTCCTCTCTATCTTCTTGAGTTTTTGCCCAAACACCAAAAAGGGTAAAACAAATCTTAATTTAAGACTACTTACTCATATCATATTGGTTTTTTTAAGTGTCTATCTATCTTTCATAATTTTCAAGATAATAGTCAAATTAATTGTTGTTTGTTACTGTGTTCCATTATCTGTTTTTTGTTCATTCTTTTGTGCATAAATTAGGCCATTAGTTTTCTTGTTTGAATTGTTTTACATGTGTCATTTGGGGGCCTTTTTATAGCTGACTATGCTGTATGGGATCTGCTCATTGTTAAATGCAGTTGGTGTCCCTAAAGTTGTTAATTTCTGTGTCATTTGGTCTCTAGTGGAGAGTTGTATCATTGGCAATCAATACCACATCTTCTTTTTTATAAAAACAGTAAAAAAAATAACCAAGAGCAATAACTCCATAACAAGTCAACTGAGGGTTTTGTATAAATGGGCAGATCACAACATAACATCTCTCTCATCATGTTTTCCCCAATTATAGCAGCTTTCAAGATAATCAGACAAATTTGCATTTAACCCCCACTGTTCTATTTTTAGCTATGTTGGCAATTTTGGTTGGCAGGCATGGTCATAGGCCACCTTTTTTGTATACTAAAAACCTAAGAAGATTGTTGCAGAGTTTGGTTAATTTGGTTCAGTACTTGCAGTTGAGCTAATAATGTAGATGTATTTGCATCAATCATGAAAAGTACAAAAAAAATCATTTTTAAGAGTGGATAAAATTCTTACTCTTGAAGAAGCAAGTGTGCTCTTCTCTTGTCCTTCAGCTCTCCCAAATCGATCTTTGTCAGTTTTTTGCTGATGGTCTCTTTAAAGATTACGCACTCATTACATTTGCTGAGCTTCTGATACTATAAACAAAAAGATTACATCTATTTAATTCTATGAATGTTTCTTAATTTATGCATGACTGAACATTTTTTAATATGACGAAGGAATTAATTAGGTGACATAAAGCAGGAGGTATGATATATAAAGTCACTGTCATACCAATGAATTATTAAAGACTTGCAACATAAATTTCATTTTTTTATTAATAAAAGATTGAAATATAGTTTAGTTTCATTTTGAAGGTCCAATGTGACCTTTAGTTGCTTAAATCCATGTCAATTGGACTCTATAGGATAGTTGTCTCATCATTCATGTGTCATACAACATGACCTTTATTTAACATAAAGTGCAGAAAGTAATTTTTATGTCATAAACATGCATATATATGTTGACTTTGACATAATTGACAATTTTACACATAATTATTGAAAAAAAATTGATGTTTGTCATGACTTTACCAAAACATATATTTTGTACATATTAAACAGCTTTGTAAAATAAAGTTGATACCATATGTTTTATGTGCATTGGCATCATAACTGTCAAGATGTGTCAGACTGTGATGATTTCCTACTTTTCAGTTATAATTTAGACATCTGCATATTATTTTATCCCTTCATCATGTTCATAAACCAACACCTTTGTTCTGAATATTACTCCATACAAACCTTTGGAATCTTAACATGAGGAAACTCTTCAATCCACATTCCATAGAACCTCTGGTATGATAAATAGGGTGATCCTAAATTCTCACAGGAAGATTTGTAATCTGTCCAAACTTGTAGTATAGAGAGACATGATGGCAAATGTATTTCCAGAATATCAGGCTGATCATCACCATATCTCTTGCATAGACCTGTAACAAAACTCTTTGCTTCAAGGTACTGGCGACTCTTGTATTGTTGGCTACATCTTTTGTCAGAATTGTCTAAATCTTCATTAGTAGACCTACATTTCTTTTTCATGTAGTAATACCTGAAATTTAAAAATGTAAAAAATATAACAGACTGATACCACTACTAATTTATGTGGTTTTATTTTCTCGGATTATTTGACATCAATTTTAAAAATCCTTTTAAGGAAATGTGTTTTTTTGTCATAAAAATCATTTTTCAATTTGTTTTATCTGTGAAAAATGAACACAAATCAAGTAAATTGTTAAAGAAACCACCCTAGACTTGATTCAAACAAATAATTCTACAGATGCTGTTTTGAGACTGTCAAAGTTTCATAAATTACATAGCATATGACCTTTAGAAGTTTTTTATGTCTAAAAAAAACTAAGCCACAGACTGAATATAACATGTATAAGAAGAGTGTTCATCTGTTTGGATATATGTTAAACCCCGCCACATACTTTATGGGCCTGTCCCTAGGACCCTGTAAATTAATGGTTGTTCCTTGCTGTCTGTCATATCTTTTTTTGATGGTGGCTTTAGCATATATCTGGCTATTTGATTTCTCAATTGAATCGCTTCCCATTCTGTGAGCATAAATAGTTTACTATACAATATGGGATTTTCATTGTTAAAGACCTAACAGTGACATGTAGTTGCTTACAACCTCCTCATGGATAGCTGTTTGATTGGTATTTTAAAACAAATGTATATATATACATTAAAAATTAACCAGGTAGACTACAACAGAATGTGGGATCACTACTTTTGATTTGAATTGATTTTGATTTTTTGTGTTTTTAACGTCACTTAGAAGCACCCCTTTTGGGCAATCTTGTGGCAGCCAGTTTTTATTGGTGGAGGAAGCAGTAGCGCCCAAATAAAACAACCGACCTTTGATAGGAAAACTGACAATCCTAGTCAATTAAGATTGGAGTCAAGCACACCCGCACAAGCGGGGTTCTAACTCACAACCTCAGTGTTGACTGGCTAGTGATTACAGTAGTAACTACTAAGATCACAAACCACCGAGGCCCCCTCACTACTTTGATGTTGGGTTGCTGTCATAAGGATGTGTAGCCCATGAACTAATTTATTTATACTTTTAAGGTATTATACCTCCTCCTTTTTATGCCATACACAATCCTCCATGCATATTCACATACTCTCCTACCAGTCAGCACAAAAGTCAACTGTTTGTCTTCTAAACTGGCATCATTGCACCTGTGTACATTATTAAAAAAAAAACATTTGAAAAAAGTAGATCTCGAGACCACACGTTTTACAGTTTAGGTTTTACGAACTGGTGTTAAGATATGGTATCTATGTCAAAGGTACTACACCAACAATATAACATATTTTTACCAAATGGTTTTTGAATGTTTAAAACTTTTCATGAGAAGTGAATTTTTACCTATCTTCAACGTTTTCATAACACATGTCCATTTGGTTATAGATTAAGTCTTATAAAATTGGTCAATAAGAATGAGGCCCTTCATGGGGGTGTCCAAGTAATCGCATAATCACAAATCTTTTGCCAATATAATCTTATAATCATTAATTATTTTTTTAAACAAGATAATCAAATAATCAAAAATACAGTCCTAGATAATCAACTAATCAAATAATCATGAAATATTTGGTCTGGTTATCAAATATTCACTATAAAATCACATTATCAAAAACCCCATTAGGAGGCTCAAGAACCAAAGATTCTCTTTTTTCTTTTTCATCTGATTTGAAAGAAACGAGTAAAATTTATAAAAGATTTCATGTTATTTGTATACATGTATCATGAGACAAATTTTTTTAAAGAAAAATAACATCAGAGCTCATCTATCTTTGTTGGGGAAAAAAACCCCAACAAAATGGTTTTTTTTTAAATTACTTTAAATCAAGTTTTATTAGACTTCTTGTAATTAAGTTAAGGCAGCTTTAATCAACAGAAACATGTACAAATGCATATCAGTATGCGAATGTACACGTATTTGCCATATATATATATATATTCTTATACTGACTCTGCGAAGGCTGTATAGCCAGTCAAGATCATTAAAACACTCTTGTAGTAAATAAAAATCTATTCATATATAAATATACCTTATGTTTCTTTCAATGAAATCTGACTGTTCTTCTTGTGTCTTTTTATAGAACATAGCTCTACAGGTCTGAATTGTCTGAACATTACTGGTGCTTAAACATTTTTTCTCACAGCATGGCGAATTCACAAGGTTGCAAATAACATTGAAGTCTGTCTCCTTATCTTTTAATACATTTGATGTTTTTTCACGTTTCCTGGCTAAAATTAAAAAGAATAAATAAAAATACAAGTATTCAGGAGAAATATCAGAGCCTTACATTTTAAAAAAAACCACTTGCCACTCTTTTCTTTTTAAAAACATGACAAAGATTAGGGAAACAGACTGTTTAAGATATCTCCTGGTCTAAATGGGAACAAGAGTGCACACGCTGAAATGTCTCGCCTTCTTTTCTAACCATTGATTTTATGTTGATAGTCCTAAATATAAAGCTTTACTACAAGTAACACATAAACTTAACATGATCCAATAAAATGAGGTCAAGGTCAGATAAACCAAACGAGAAATACATGTACACCTTACAATCATTCAATAAACCAAACATAGTTGACCTATTGCTTATAGTTTCTAAGAAACAGTCTTAACCAAGAAAACTGAACATTGACCAATGAACCATGAAAATGAGGTCAAGGTCAGATGTACCATGCCAGACAGACATGTACACCTTACAATCAATTGCATTAAATATAGTTGACCTATTGCTTATAGTATCTAAGAAACAAACTTAACCATGAAAACTTAACATTGACCAATGAACCATGAAAATGAGGTCAAGGTCAGATGATACCTGCCAGACAGACATATACACCTTACAATCCTTCCATACAACAAATATAGTTGATCTATTGCTTATAGTTGAAGAAAAACAGACCAAAACACAAAAACTTAACACTGAGAAATGAACCATGAAAATGAGGTCAAGGTCAAATAAAACCTGCGAGACTGACACTAAAATATTTCCATACACCAAATATAGTTGACCTATTGCATATAGTATTAAAAAAAGATCAAAACGCAAAAAATTAACTTTGACCACTGAACCATGAAAATGAGGTCAAGGTCAGATGACACCTACCAGTTGGTCATGTACACCTTACAATAATTCCATATACCAAATATAGTAGACCTACTACTTATAGTATCTGATATATGGACTTGACCTCGAAAACTTAACCTTGTTCACTGATCCATGAAATGAGGTTGAGGTCAATTGAAAATTGTCTGACGGGCATGAGGACCTTGCAAGGTACGCATATACTAAATATAGTTATCCTATTACTCATAATAAGAAAGAAATTAACATTACAAAAAATGTTGACTTTTTTTTCAAGTAGTCACTGAACCATGAAAATGAGGTCAAGGACAATGGACATATGACAGATGGAAACTTCGTAACATAAGGCATCTATATACAAAGTATGAAGCATCCAGGTCTTCTAGCTTATAAAATATAAAGCTTTTAAGAAGTTAGCTAACGCTGCCGCCGGATCACTATCCCTATGTCGAGCTTTCAGCGACAAAAGTCGCAGGCTCGACAAAAATAGTGAAGTCTCATTGATACATATATATATATATGCTAAATCTTTTAATCAGTGACAATATAAAAAACTTTTATTTTTTGACACTGGGACTATTATACTACAGACTTGTAAACTGATTGATCTGTCATGTCTGTTGAGATTTCATTGTCCTGATAGTAGATTATTGATTTTTTTTTAATTGACCCCTTATCGTTTCACATGGTTAATAAGCCTTCAGTACATTAAACAAATAGATTTCGGCATATAAGTCAGCATATACATAGAATACTGTTAAAATTGTTTGATTAAAAATCAAAACAAATAATTAAATGCAAAAAATTAAAATATATATGAATAATTAAACTATTTTATCAAATTAAATACATTTACTAGACATGCCAGAGAGAAATGTTTTACACTGGGATAAACTAATGCTGATTAAAACATTTCTTATTGTTTAGGAAAAAGTATTAATAAAGAAGTCAATATATTAGTGTGTCCGTAGTACATGGATGCCCCACTAGCACTATCATTTTCTAATAAGACTTATGTTCAGTGGTCTGTGAACAAAATAATTTAAAAATATCGTTCTTGATTCAATCTTTTGATCACAAGGAAGCATCTGTCAAAGTTTCATAAAATCTCATAATGGTTATTAGTGTTGAAAAACTTAAATAATACCGTATACATATCAATGTTAAATACAGAAAAAAATGTCCTATTATCCATTAAACATGGAAAATGAGATGAAATAGTTTTTCCAATTTCCCTCTAACTTAGAAAATACTGTCAGGCTTCTGTCCAAGTTTCATGTCTTAAACATACATGATACATGTGATATACATAATATATAAATATCTTAAATACTTCTTTGTTCTTACCTATTTTGCGCTTTGCATTTCTAACATCAATGTAGTCATCTTCAAATTCGGTGTCACTATCTACAAAACAACAATAATTATGTCATGCAAGATAAATAAAATTATTCATGTTCACTCCTCTTATTCTATAGTAGGAGTCCAAAGGACAAGTAATTAATTTGGTGCGTTCTTTCAACTTCTTGTTTTAACAAATAAGTCTTCTTCATATACATGTATGTTATAGAATATTTTTTTTCTAATAGAATAAAGCTGAAAATAGATATTTGTCACGAGAAAAAAATTGTCCAACCCATAAAAGTATATCCCCACTTTTAAATCAAAATATATGAACACAGGAACTTGATGTCTGACATCCAAAAAGCAGGAGAACATAACAACTCATCATTATTGATCTGCTGAACAAATATAGACATTCTGATTTGAAGTTTTAAAAGAAAAGTGTGTAGAAAATTTCTAGTTCATACAATAAATCAAAATGTCAATGTATTAGTAAACAGAATACCTGTATATGACAAATTTGAAGTGTTCACATATTAAAACTCACTTCTGTCAAGTTTGTCAACTATGTATGAAGGCATTCTGTTCGGTAGTTTCTACGAAAAGTGTGATGAAAATATCTATTGAACATACAAATGAGCTGAATAGAGAGTTATTACAAAATAGCCCTTATTCTAGACTAAGAGCAGGGTATCAACAAGAAACATAATCATACCTTCAACATGATCAGCAGACTCTAACTGTTTAAATGTAGTAACTTTTACACGCTTCATGGCATAAATTCATTAGAAAGCTGAAAATAAAGAAAATATATATGGTACTCTCAAACCACTATATTGGGATAATGAGACATATTTCCATGATTAACAAGATGAACAGTACTGTAAGGTGTTGCATTCAAATGATACAGTATCTTGGATGATTTTATTATAGAATGTTATTTAAGGTGGCTCTGGTGTCTTCCTCCATCTTGGATTTTGAAGTAGCAGATAACAAGTGGTCTAGATCTTTAATGAAATGTGCTAATTTTGAATGTAGTATGTAATTCATGTGTAAGACTTTTAATGTAAATATGAAAATTATGTATTTTATCATATTTACAGCTGTAATTTCTAAAAAAAACACCATATTTCAATATCTGTGTTTGATTCATTTTTTTCAACTTTGACAAATAAGGAGAGATAACTAAGATAGGAGGGGAGAAAACTCAGATAAAGTAATTTTATAATAGAAAGCAGTCTTCATGCTTAACCACAAGTCCACAAGTCTTGGCTTGTAAAATTGCTTTCGGGCTTGTAAAATTCTTCTCTACAAGCCAACAGAATCCAACTAAAATTTTCGTAAAATTGAGCTTCGGGCTTGTGGCTTCAAAAGTTTATCGTGAAGACTGAGAAAGTGTTGTGAAATTACCTATTTTAATATGCATGATATGTAGCAAGAAAACAAGTTTGGTGACCCTATTTTTTCTTTTTCTTATCTGAAAGCATGTTATAAGTCTATCTTCTCACATTTTATCTTAAACTTCTATGGTGTAGTTTTCTTTTTATCACACAAAATTGGATTTTCCATGCAGAATCTATACAAAATCTGACAACTTTGCACAACCTGTAGCGTGAAAAAAAGTCTGGTGACCCATACTTTTTATTATATTTTTGAATCAAAGAGCTGATAGCTCTGAGGTGGAAGATGCATAAAAGGTAGCTAAGGACCACCTCCGGTGCGGGATTTTCTTGCTGCATTGAAGACCCATTCGTGGCCTTCAGCTGTAATCTGCTCTTTGGTCGGGTTGTTGTCTCTTTGACATATTCCTCATTTCAATTCTCAATTGTATTTTTATTGAATTCCCATAAAAGCAGCCCACACCAACCCAGTCTGTTCTGTCACATTATTGCTTCCGACATGTTTTTTTCTTCCAAAAATAATTTTCTTTAATAATACTATAGTCTCAACCAAAACTGACAATACTAAACATAAAAATCTACAAATACTGTTGATTCAAATTAAATTTTTTATATAATTCCATATGATCGTCTCAGCATGGTCAACTTTATACATGCAATTATACCAGTAATTGATAAGGTTTCATTTGGTTTTTTTCTGTCAAAGGTAAATACATGTAGTTCACTTTGGGTATTCCAACTTCCTTAGTATTAAATTATCAAAGCACCAAGGGCGCTATAGGCAATTAATTAAAACATAGGTTGTTTACTACAAAAAAAATTGTCGTTGTGAAGATTTTATTAAATTATTTGATTTACATGTTATGTCATTGCGTCATTCTATGTATTTGGCAGATAGCATAGCTTATGGTAACAAGAGTGCACATGCTGAAATGTCTCGCCTTCTTTAATAACCATTGATATTATGTTGATAGTCCTTAATATAAAGCTTTACTATCAACCTTACAATCATTCAATACACAAAATATAGTTGACCTATTGCTAACAGTTTCTAAGAAACAGACTTAACCAAGAAAACTAAACATTGACCAATGATCCATGAAAATGAGGTCAAGGTCAGATGAACCATGCCAGACAGACATGTACACCTTACAATCAACCTATGCATTAAATATAGTTGACCTATTTCTTATAGTATCTAAGAAACAAACTTAACCATGAAAGCTAACATTGACCAATGAACCAACAAAATGAGGTCAAGGTCAGATGATACCTTCCAGACAGACATATACACCTTACAATCCTTCCATACAAAAAATATAGGTGACCTATTGCTTATAGTTTAAGAAAAACAGACCAAAACACAAAAACTTAACACTGAGCAATGAACCGTGAAAATGAGGTCAAGGTCAAATAAAGCCTGCAAGACTGACATGTGCATCATAAAATATTTCCATACACCAAATATAGTTGACCTTTTGCATTTAGTATTAAAAAAAAAAACCAAAACTCAAAAACTTAACTTTGACCACTGAGTGAACCATGAAAATGAGGTCAAGGTCAGATGACACCTGCCAGTTGGACATGTACACCTTACAATCATTCCATACACCAAATATAGTAGACATATTGCTTACAGTATAAGAAAAACAGACCAAAACACAAAAACTTAACTATAACCACTGAACCATGAAAATGAGGTCAAGGTCAAATGACACCTACCAGTTGAACATGTTCACCTTACGATCCTTCAATACACCAAATATACTATACCTATTGCTTATATTATCTGAGATATGGACTTGACTGCGAAATCTTAACCTTGTTCACTGATCCATGAAATGAGGTCGAGGTCAAGTGAAAACTTTCTGACGGGCATGAGGACCTTGCAAGGTACGCACATACCAAATATAGTTATCCTATTACTCATAATAAGAGAGAAATTAACATTATAAAAAAAAAATTTTCAAGTAGTCACTGAACCATGAAAATGAGGTCAAGGACAATGGACATGTGACAGACGGAAACTTCCTAACATAAGGCATCTATATGCAAAGTATGAAGCATCCAGGTCTTCCACCTTCTAAAATATAAAGCTTTTAAGAAGTTAGTGAATGCCGCCACCGGATCACTATCCCTATGTCGAGCTTTCTGCAACAAAAGTCGCAGGCTCGACAAAAAGTGCATAAATTCACCACAATTCAATAAATTGTCTCAAATGAAAGTTTTCTACCATAAATTTTATTGACTAATAGTTAATATGAACAAAAGACAAATATGTAACACATCAACAAGCGACAACCACTGTATTACAGGCTCCTGACTTGGGACAGACACATACATACAGAATGTGGCAGGGTTAAACATATTAGCGGGATCCCAACCCTCCCCCTAACCTGGGACAGTAGTGTAACATGACTATATTTATATACTTGTTGTTTCTTTTGTATAAAGAAATAGCTCAAGACTACCTTAAACGATCTACAATATTCAAAGTAATATGTGAATTCGTTTCTTGCAATTTCATTATTCTTAGTCAAGGATACATTAACAGACTAACCCCTTCTTTGTAGAATTATTTAACAAAATGATGATGAAGAGCTGCTTGCAGTAAGCAAGCTCTTATACCCCACATAGTCCTTAATTATATATAAACTGAAATCTTTAAATAACAACATAAATTATTGCAGAATTATCTTTTTTTCAAATGATTTAATGTTTGTGAGTCATTTATTTCAAATAATTAACCCGTACTAAAAGGTAAACGGACAGAAAGTCACAGGACAAAAAGTCACAGGACATAAAGTCACAAATTTGATAGGACAAAAAGTCACAAATAATTTGTTGACAATTGTTTGAAAATATAAGAGAAAGATCTTGAAATATTTTCTTTTTATTACATATATTCATTTTTAAGTTTAGGAAATTGTTCATAAGCCTTGATAAATGAAAATTTATTAAATTTTAATCATGCAAAGGATATATTACTTGGCACAATGAAGCCATTTAAGTACCAAGCCACTTTGACATTTTGATTTCATAACAATTATTTGATCATTATTGATATTTATTGAATAAATTTTAATTACAAAGTTGCTTCATATATAATAGTTCAAGAAAAAACAAAAATTTAATTTTTTAAATTAGTGTTTTCTTGTTTAAAGAAAAATAATCTCAAAACTGAATTGTGACTTTTTGTCCTGTGACTTTTTGTCTGTGACTTTTTGTTCTGTGACTTTCTGTCCTACATTCTACTAAAATAAGGAGATGTGGTTACATGATTGCCAATGAGATAACAGTCTGATAACTATCCACCAGAGTCTAAATAATGTGGCTGTTGGCAGTTATAAGTCATTTTACATCATTATATTAAATTATAGCCTCATTTTTTATAAGGATGCATCTTTGGACTCAAAAGTTTTGAAAATGATGAGTCTAGACAGATTTTGATCAGTGCATGAACAGGCATCAGACGTTCTTTCAACATTTGTTCAATTGAAATAAAATAAGGGCAATGGGAAGAAAATAGTGTACGCTATTTTTTTTATATATATGGACTATTTTCTTCCCATTTCCTACATTTTACTACTTTTGACAGAACGTCTAGTGCCTGTGGTCCAGGACTCATGGACTCGCCTAAACCTTAGGCTGAGTGAGAACCCTGTATAATCTGTTGTTTTCATTTTTTTAGAGCTTCATATATGGTTATCATAAATGCATAACCTTTTTAAATGTCCAACTTGCCTGATTAGGGGCCCTGAGTCCTTTTCAAAAATCAGTATCCGCATCTGACTTCTAAGAACAGTAACAGTCTTCGCGATAAACTTTTGTATAGAACACAGGGGCGCGTATCATAGATGTTTTGGGGCGGATTTATATATGCCAGTCGACTGGTATGCGTTATACATTGTGTTAATAGCGGACTATGATGCGAGCACCTGTGTACTACGGTACAGAACAGGCCCGACACTGCGACAGCTTACGAAAATTTTAAGTTAAGACTCTTTTGAAATAATTGCCCTGTGAAGATTATTTTTTGCTGGCCCGAATGCATTTTTAAACCCATTTACCAATTGAATTGAATGGGCGTTTGATATACAACTATAGTAATAAGTATAAATGTAATATTATGTGATGAACCTACCCGTTTGGAAAATTTCTTTCAAATATGGCGGCAATGATGTTGTGATCTCGCTGAAATCTCGCTACCCAAACAGGATCAGAAATCGTTCGTCACAACTCGGCCGATTCCGTACCTCCATCTAACACTATAGACTGAGAGAAGCGGAGTCCCCCGAGGTTAGCCGATTAAAATTTTAACTTTATTTTCATTCTTAGGGATGACATCAAAAGATCAATGTAGGATAAAAAAACTTAAATCAAATAGTTTGGGGGTGGGGGGTTAAAATTGCTGCAAGTTTTGTTTATCCAAAATCGATTTTACATATATCCATATTGGTCAATCAATTTTTCCCAAATTAAGTTAAGAGGGGGAGGGGGGGGGGGGGGGGTCAGTGAAAAAACTATGTGAATTAAGTTTTTTTTTATCCTACATTGAACTTTTGATGTCGTCCCTTATTTGGGGGGAATCGTTATTTTCGGTTATTTTCGTAAAAAAAAATCAAGGATGCGCTTCTCACTAAAATCAAAACAAAGAACAGATTTTGCTCGGAATTTCATCACAATAAAACTTTGTTTACTTTATATCAAATATTTTGTTTTATTTAATTTTAATTGCTTCGATCGATGTACAAATTTATTTTATATTTATTTCTCAAATCACATTAAAAAATTACCGTACTGTAAAGGGGTATTAAAAAGATCTGAGACTAATTAGTTTAACATATTTTATTTGCATATATATACAAAAGGGACGAGACACAAGTTAATCAAACTTATATATAGACTTCTCCCATGAACAATTATAACAATAGAATATTTACAAAGCATGCATGCAAACAATACATTATAATATATATATATATTAGAACTGTGAAAAAAATATGTGTGATGATGTGAATGGTTGTACACCCTATGCATGTATTTGCACTTAAGTGTGCTATATTACACAATTAGAAACCTCTTAGACTCTTTAATAAATTCATATACATTCTTCACAATTCTTTCAGTTCAACAGTAGTTAAAGACGTATCACCGGAGGTTAAGAAGTTCTTAAGTTGAGAATTCTCTTGTAACCAGTTCAGATTATTTAATAATTTGGTTCTTATATTCGCATAATTAGGACAAAAAAGAGAAGTGATATGAATATTCACACTTAGCACCACAACTACAAGACGAATCTAAAATAACATTGACTCTGTAAAGATCATAATAGATAAGATAAGATCAAATGTGTGATGGTAGTCTCATAAAAGATGAATTATTTGAACCAAGGTTTTGTATAGTACCACCAATGATTTGTATAGCGAGACTCACTACACAAATCATTGGTATTTTATACAAATCCTTGTTTAAATACTCAAAAAGGCGTAAGCCAAAGCCGACTGTGCAGTCCCTAACCTAAAGGAAAAATCTTTAAATCTCCCTTTTTTTACTTGTAGTAGTATGTAACGGGCGGAAATTGAGAATGGAAATTGGGAATATGTCAAAGAGACAAATTCATATAAAAATTTCATATGAGTCCTTCAAAATTACTCATACATTGATAACAAAATATATTCAGTTTAAAAGGGAATTCTCACAAATTTTGCTGGTTTAAAATGTTGTCAGATATCTACAGGTTCGCTCATTATCGAAATGAAAATACAATTTTTCCAGGAATTAGCGGAAAACAACCCAAATTCACATGATTTATTTCCATTTTTATGCATGCCTAAATATCAAAGTCGCTTAAAATATCTACACAATATTTTAGATGCGGTCTCTAAAAACACCGCAAAGGACATTCTTTATCGGTATGGATATGCACAAGGTTACATCATTTTTTAGATTATGAATTATCGAAGATTTTATTGTTATTATACATATATTTTGAAATATTGCAAACCATGAACTTAAAAATAAACTGAGACTTTACAGAAGAAGAAAAAAGTAGCATAAATTGTTTGTCAAAATTTCAATTCCACAAATAATAACTAATTGTATAATGAGGACTTGATTGCGCTTGCATGGCATAAACAGAGATGTTTTCTTTACAATTAATTATCAGTGTTGATAAAGCCAGTCTTTAAAAACAAGGAAACTGTTTCAAATACAATTATTTGTACTTAATTTTTGAAAATACAACAAAAGGGAACTTCAGACTATGCAAAATTAATATAAATCACTCAAGGGGTGATCAAAGACATCGTCTATTGAGGTAAAAAGGGGAAAATAGAAACCAATTTAGTCAAAATTTTATAAGGAATATAGAATGAGAAAGTTATAAAGTTGTAAAAAAAATATACAATGTTTTTCCCTTTCAATTCTTGCCAGAATTTACTAGTGTAATTTCCGAAAGAAAAAAAAAAGATTAATACTGTGTTTCTTTTTTCTGACAAATGAATTTGACATATTATCAAAAAGGTTTTATGTATTTTTATTACATCGCGATGACCTTGAGGTCATCCCGATGTATTGCTATCGCCTAGATTTCCATTATGTAAATTAGTTTTGGGTTTGTAACCGATCTATAAACATGATAAATACGCGCACATAAACGAGTGCAAAATAACATTCCTTATCGTTTGATATAAATACATCTCTTCAATGAATACTGATAAAAATATTTTTGTTTACAACATAAATTAATAATATGAAAATGTTTTGTAGTTAGATATATATATATAAGTAAAAAATCATTGATAATATCAATGCACACGTACCGATTGATTGATTGTTGTTTGCTTTACGCCGCATTAGCACAGAAAGGCTATATCGCGGCGAGAGCTAATTCGAATATTATAACAATTTAAGGTATATTTTTAAAATCAGACAAAAGGTCTTTCAATAAACTAAAATTCTAGACTAAAGCAAATTGATTATTTACAAATAAAAATCAACACTAAGATAACGTGATAAAAATTAAAATCGTTTTAAATATAACAACATTTTTATATTTTATAATATATTCCAATTTCTTTTAAGAATGAAACAATATTTGTAAATGGAATATTATTAAATAAATCATACATATTATTGACATTGAAATGCTTCTTCCGAATATCAGCAAAGTCAATACAATTGATTAAAACATGTTTAATAGTATACTTGCAGTCACAAGGTATACATTGTGGTTCTACTTCATTCTTCAAAAGACATTCGTGTGTTATTCTAGTATGACCAATACGACATCTAGAAATAACACACTGATCTTTTCTGCACATAAAATTATTGAAAGGTTTACATAAATTAGGTTTAATTTCATGTAATTTATTGCCATCTTTTTTACTCCATTCATTTTTCAATATATTAAAAACATATTCTTTAATATTAGATTTAAAATCGGTATATGGTATATCACAGTTGGATAAAGGGTCACCCAGGGCATTCTTTGCCTCAAGGTCTACAGCTGTGTTTCCAAGGATTCCAACATGACTCGGCACCCATAGAAATAATATTTCTTTAAGAAGAATTTTTAAATTCCTCATTACATATAAGATTTTGAGAATTGTTGGGTTTTTAATTTTAGTATTTTGTATAGCTTGTAAGCATGAAAGTGAATCAGAACATATAATAAATTTGGATTTATCTGAAGAAGCAATAAATTTCAAAGCCAAAATTATTGCTTCTGCTTCAGCAGTAAAGATCGATGCATCAGATGGCAAACGGAGAGTTGCAGCTCTGTCCATGAAGACAGCAGCAGATGCAACTCTGTCACCATCTTTTGATCCATCAGTATAGACAGTTGAAAAATCTGAATAATTGGCTTTGATTTCAGCATAGTGTTGCTGAATTAAAAGAGGATTTGTTTTATTTTTATTGTGTTCACGGAGATCAAATATCATTTTTGGTTTGGGAAGTTCCCATGGAGGACATTTGCAAGTTTCAACTTGAGCAACAGATTTTAAATCAAAAGAAGCTAAATGTGATTTTAAACGTATACCTAACGGAGGAATTTTATTTTCATGTTTTGCAAAAATATCTTCATAAATTGGATTAAAAACACAGCTGTAGGCAGGGTTATCTGAGTAGGCTTTTAGTTTGACAGCATATTGAAGTCCAAGCTTCAAACGTCTGTTAGAGAGTGAGTGCTCATCAGCCTCTACATACAGACTCTCAACTGGTGAGGTTTTAAATGCGCCAAGACAGAGACGCAAACCCTGATGATGCACAGCATCGAGAATCTGTATGTAGGACTTCCTTGCAGAGCCATACACTATAGAGCCATAATCTAGTTTAGATCTAACTAGAGATCTATATAAATTAAGTAAAATGTTGCGATCAGCACCCCAGTCGGTGCTGCCGACAACTTTTAAAATATCTAATGCTTTTAAACATTTCGATTTTAACATTTTGATATGGGGTAGAAAGGTTAACTTTTTATCGAAAATTAACCCAAGAAATTTGGTTTCATCAACCATTTTAATTGGGTTGCCGTACAAAGTGAGTTCTGGATCAAGATGCAATTTCCTTTTGTTACAAAAATGCATCCCGACCGTTTTTGAAGTGGAAAATTTAAACCCATTTTCCGAGGCCCATTTTTCAATTCTTCCAAGACATAACTGTAGTTGTCTTTCTATGTTATTCATATTTTTGCCTCTATAACATATTAAAAAGTCATCAACATACAATGAACCTTCAATATTACTTTTTAAAACTTCAACAAGGCTGTTGATTTTAAGACTAAATAATGTAACAGATAAAATACTGCCCTGAGGGACACCCATCTCTTGATCATACAGATCAGACATGGTTGAATTTACTCTAACATTAAATTGTCTGTTAGATAGAAAATTCGAAATAAAATTTGGCATATTGCCTTTCAACCCCATATCAAAGAGATCTTTTAAAATACCATACTTCCATGCAGTATCATAGGCTTTTTCTAGATCGAAAAAGACCGACACTACATGTTCATTTTTCGCAAAACCATTACGGACAAATGATTCGAATCGAACAAGATGGTCAAGAGTACTGCGACCTTGGCGGAATCCACACTGGATATTGGCTAAAAGCCCATTGGATTCCAGGAACCAAACAAGGCGATCATTGACCATCCGTTCTAGTGTTTTACAGACACAACTGGTAAGAGCAATTGGCCGATAATTAATAGGATCCGTGTGATCTTTACTTGGTTTTGGAATAGGCACGACGGTTGCAAGCTTCCAGATTGATGGTAAATCACCAGATTCCCAGATGTTATTCATAAGCTGCAAAAGAGCTTCCAGCGAGGAATCTGGCAAGTGTTTTAACAGTTGGTAGTGAATATTATCAGGCCCACAAGCTGTATCATGGGCTTTTGACAGAGATGTTTTAAGTTCTTCAAGAGAAAAGAGTTTATTATAATTTTCACCATTTTTTGATTTGAAGTTTAATTTAATTTTTTCTTTTTGTTTT